ATTCGTAAATTCGCAATAAACACTCCTCACTCACTCCCCACTCACTCACTCACTCCTCATTATTGAAAAATTTTTTTTCGCTCTCGTTCCATTAATTCTTGTCTTAGAAAAGTAGTGATAATCAAAACACCCTCGCGAACTGCACGCATGGTAGAAACGGCTGGCACAAAAACTCGAAATACGATTTTTGCTTTCAAGTTCTGTTTACACGGAGACGTTCAACATGCAAAGGTGAGGCGATTATCGCTCACGTGGAAGAGCGATAATTGCGAATGTTTAGACGAGGAAAGTTTTTTATATTCTTTCGATAATCGCATCTTCGAGACGAGAAACTCTCTCCATCTAAATGGGCCTTAATAAACAACAGACTTGACAAAAGCACAACCCCTGAAAACATGGCCTCTATGAACTGTCAAAAATCTAGCCGCCCTTTAAGAAAAACCATTTATATCAAAAAAATTATTAAGAAACCGATCGAACCACATCACCTTTTTATCCACATGACTCTAAATCCAAAAAGAAATTCCAGTCCAAAAGTGTTTCATAGAATTGAGACATCCATATCTTTCAAGGACTGTTTTTGGTTTGCAAACTTACGTTTTTATTTTTAATTCCCCAAAAACAAGAGCATGACCACCGAGTTCTTTGACATGATCAATCACAGTACTAGCAAGTGGAGTGTCTGAGCAAAACAAATCAACCAGAGTAGAACTACGACTAGTGAAATGTGTCGGCATCGCGATGTAATTACTAATATTCATGTTTACCATTATGTTTAGCTTACCATACTTGCTCGTCCCGTCACTTGATATTAAAAAAAAAAACAAATGCAATCGATAAAAAACACTAGTTGCTTTGTTTTATGGTCGTCACTATTCAAAATATACACATTGAAATGTCCAACGTCCAAAAAAAAAGATCGACGAGCCGATATTACTGCGAGAAAGATGTAAATAGTGTCCGTAAGTGCGTGTGGAAACTCGTCAATATTAGACCATGGAGGTTTATATGCAGTTCATATTCATATGAATGTGCAGTTCCTATAATAAGGTGTAACCAATTCAAAGTCAACATGATCCACATTTGTTCGATGTGATTGCTATAGGATAATTGCTGCATTTACGAACATTTAAGCGACGTAATATAGAATCCTACCGCGCCGTCCTGCCGTCGACAAGTTTGCGAGGGGAATGTAGAGAACGGAAACCAGGCATTTTAGGAGCACAGCATGCAAGAATATCAAAGTTATCAGGATATCGTCCATTTGATATAAGACATTCATTCTGTTTTGTAAAGAGGCCAACATTTACATTTTTCATTTTGCTATGGGATTTGTACTGACGTAATTGTTGTAATACTTAATTGTTAACGCGCATTATCAGTTGCCCGCACATAGAGCCCGGCACTGTTTGATAATGACCCATTGAATATACATGATTTCCACAAGTTGACCACACCGTACACTCTAAGTAAAACGTTAAAAGAGCAAATAATTCTATTGCCACACAAACACTGAAAAATTATACGAATAAAATAAACCAGCAAAATGGATTTGAAAACATTATAATCACACACAAACGCATAGATTAATACTCTAAATGAATAACACATAAAATCCGGTTTAGAATAAAAGTTTACACTACTGTTTATACGTTTCAATCTCAGATTACAAAACAGGCAAATGGAGCGCGCTGAACACAAAAGTGAAGCCACCAAAGCAAATACAAATTCTAAAGCAAATACAAATTACAAAATCGCGTCAGTAGTAAGCAAAGAGTCGCATTGTTTGCACGTCACGAGTGATTAGTTATTTAATGTTTAAAAATGCTATCTTGTATCTTTAAACACTGTAAAAGTTGTTCCCAAAAACAAAAAAAATTAGATGGATATCTTTTCAAAGGGAACTATTGATTATTTAACTGTTTTGTAATTTATTTACCAAATATTTTTTGAGATTCGCTCGGAACACAAAACCTCGACATAAATTCGTATGTGTTGCCAGTTTATATCAAAATTACTTTCCTTAAATTAGATAAATATGCATGGGTGATAGGAGCATCGATTAATTTATACTTTTATACAGAAATTAAACAATGCATGCATATACATACAGGCTGGTCCATTTACAGCGGTCCAAAATTGTTTTATAAGTAACTCAGATTTACCTAAATTATTCTCAAACCAATGTCTAATAGCCATAATGTACACAAAAGAAAATGTAGCCATATACATGTAGATACAGAGAACTTTCATTGTTGTGTGCACATGTCATAAACAGAATGATTTTGAAAGAAAACGTGTCAATAAAAACAAATTATAGTGTATTACATAACTTCACAGGTTAAAGGCTTCATAGGCCTCTAGGCTAAAGAGTTTCATTGGGAACCAAACAATTTTTGTCTAATTAGAAGATGATTCAATAATGCTATGGAATTGATTAAAAAAGTAAGTTAATTTAATAAAAAAAATAACAGAAAAGTATTTGATAGTGCCATTGCACTTTTGTATCGAAATCAGAAACGAATGCTCGATGTATGTATATGTAGACGCGAAACTAAAGGTTATTAAGATATTGTGTAACTGTGACTGTAATAAATATTTTGAATTATCAAAGTTTTTCAATCTTAAAATATCTTCATCATCAACCCATTTATACGTCACACTGCTGGGCACGGGTCTCCCTTCAGACGAGGGTTTAGGCCATAGTCCGCCACGCTGGCCCAATGCGGGTTTTCCGAGGGTTGTGAACCTCCTTCGACGTGCAGGTTTCATCACGTTTTCCTTCACCGAAAAGCTCATGACAAATTTCAAATTAAATTTCGCACATAAATTCCGAGAATCTCAAAGGTGCGAGCACGGACTCGAACCCACGGACTCGAATCCACGAACTCTCTGCCTGAGAGGCAGTAGGTCAAACCATTAGGCTACCACGGCTACAATTACAATTTTAAAATATCTTAATAAAATATTTTTTCCTTTGTGTGATATAAATCAAATTATAACAATTACATATTAACTTATACTGCATACAATTCGTTTGATATCCTAATACCACTTAAGTACCATATTGTAAAATAACATTTCCAGTTTGTGACATGAGTATTATGGAAAGCAACAGAAAATTGCGGGAGTTTTTTTGCTGCATCTGGCAATCTTAAACGCACACAAACGCGCGTGTCCCTTCAACGCCCCTCTTGGTTGTCACGCACACAATAAATGAAAAGCGGCTTCACATCGTTTGTTGCCTATGCTCCATCTGCCTATGTTTTGTAATCTGATGTTTCAATATGTTTATTCATTAAATCACGCCAAAAACACTACCACATTTTCCAGTTATTCGTGAGATAAATATAGCTACATGCATACAACGTTAAAACACTACATAAATACGTAATAAAAAAATAAAAACAATTAAATATATCCAGAAATTCGAAATCAGTTTGAGTATCATGAGAATGTGCATTCTTAGAAATAAAACACAATAAAACCGTTAAAACACAACAAGAACCTGAATTAATGTACAAACTGTAACACAGAAATATTAAAGAAAAGAAAAATCTGTAAATGCACAAAAATAGCTTTAGGCGAAGATCAAACGCGGTCATTTTCAAAACCTTGTTGACATCTCTCGAATTGTATTCTGTGACGTTCCTTCCCGTGCTCTCGGCGTGCGTAAATTCTGCCGCCGCGCGTCTCAAATTTCCAGTTCATGCGGCCGGCAACTTCGCGCGCTTCCTGGAATAGCTCATTGATGTAAAAGATCCTCGCGGTGCCTGCCCAGCGCCCTTCGTGGGGAGGCGATAATTTACGCCGTAGGTGTGTGTACTCGTGCAGCCTCGATCCGTCAGCAGCAATCACGCGTATGACGCCGAGCCAACCGAGTGGACGCGGTCTCGGCGTCTCCTCGCCGTCCAAAAGAGCCCGCGCCACGCCCGCACTCTCTGCAGACACCACATCGCGGTCTTCGAGTTGCACACCTAGTTTCCTTGCTGTGGCAAAAATGGCGTGAACTGAGTTCTCGTTCCTTACTTCAGGAAAGTCCGCGTCTCGACGTCGTTTACGATCCATAACTGTAAGGTGGTCTCTTCCTTTTCTGATACTCTTCACTTATGGGTCTCATTCAGTTTGCTCTCCAAGAATTCAATTTTATTTACTATAAAATTGAGCTTTGATCGTGGCATTGAGCTTTGGCAATCTCTCATATATTCCTTCTTTTTCGGTAATGGTTTGGTGCATCCTGCTCATTTCTCTAACTCGGTCTCCTGACGAAGCCTACCTTGCGGATTGACATAATTATGTAATTAATTTACTTTTTAAATGAATTCAATTTTAATATTTAATGGAATAAATGATGTTTTTTATTTCTCTAATGCAGAGTTTACAGATATAATTTAACAATACAGCAAGTAGGAGGTAGCGCGCTCTTTTGCCTAGTAGCAGCAACTATATCGGCGTACCAAAAATATCACGATGCTTCAGATAATGCTACTCGACCATAGATGGCGCTTATTAAAAAAAATTAAAATATACTGATAGATCATTAATTTCTCAATCTTAGGATACAAAACGTATCTATTTTCTGTACACTCTGATGTTGACGCTGATGAGGAAATGGAAATCGCCGTTCACATTTCAAATATCGTTAAAATTATCACCATGCCAGTAACTTTGGACAAAGCTGTTGTCACTCCGCCGCCAATGTTTTTGACGAATATTTGTTTTTTTCTCCACGCAGTGCGCCACCTTCACTTAACACGCACAACATAACACGATCAGACAGCTTTTGTTTAATATATTTAGCTACTAATAAACATAACATAATACAGAGTACTGTTTGACGCTACGCAGTGGCGCCCTCAGTGGCACTGCGATTGTTACGAACAGGCGTGTCACTTACCAACAGGCGCACAACTTGTTCGTCCCGTCACTTCATATCACAAACAAAGTCCACCATTTTTGCTTTGAACGTTATAGTCGTGTTAATTATCTCGCGCAAAACCTCGAAAATCGTAGAAAAATGCCTGATTTTGCTACTTTGGAGTGCAATAATGACAGTCGCACCTGTATCGCATCGTTGTGTTTCATGTCGTCGTTAAGTTTTATTTTATTTTATTATTTTAATAAAGTTTCAATTTTCTGTTTATTTTTTTTGTAATTTTTGTATTTTTTTTTCGTTTTTCGTTGTAATTTTTTTGTTACAAGAAATGAAAGTAAGCTTTATGCGGCTGCAGTACGGTCGTTTCTTTTTTGGAGAACTAAGCAAACATCTCGAATTTTTCACACTACTCCTAGTCGATAATCGTTCGATATGGTTGGTTACTGACCGCTAGGTGGCAGCACAGTAATTGAAATATCAAAACGTCGTAACTTGCAATAATACGTAGTGAACTTTCGACGATATGCCAACAGAGTAAAGTTGAAATTATACTGAACAGGTCAGATTTGCTACTTCTCTTTCATATTCCAAAGCGTTGGAAACGACGAAGGAGTTTTTCCTCGAGTGGACCCACCTGCGTGTTGAGCACGGTCTTGCAGACGTCCAGCGGCGTGGTGGCGGCGGCGGCCAGCGCGCCCGCGGCGGCGCCGGCCAGCGCGTGGGCGGCGGGCGAGTAGCGCCTCGCGGGGTTGAGCTTCGTCTGCGCCCACTCGTAGGCCACGAAGTGCACGGCCTGGAACGGCACGTTCATGGCCACCTGCGTGCTGTACGAGCGGTAGAACGCGCGCAGCCCCTCGGCGCGGTACACGCCGCGTGCGCATTCCCACACGCCGCGGTACGGCGAGTGTAGCATCTGTAACCGCTGCTTCACCACTGCAATCACAATACGCCTCGCCTTAATTATTCTCGTTTCGTCGAGCACTCGCGTTTGTAGTGTCGAAAGTGTGCGGCGGCGGCGGTGTTATCGCGGTGTCAGGGGCGACAGCGCCGCCGCGATAACGCCGCGCACCGCGAGACATCTCCTACAGCGTATTCCTTTAATTATCTACAAAATAAGTACCTATAAATTTATGTAAATATCTATTATTACGCACATTGTGTACGTTTAGATTACACAACTGCTCATCGTATTCATCGACAATTCCACATGGCTATTAACATGCACACGTATTATTTACGAATACCGCAAGCGACCAGATCGAAGGCAAATGGCAAGGCCACGGTTATTCGAGATTGAGACTGGCACCGCGGCAGTAAAATTACCTAAGTCTCCACACAGTAGACGTCTCCTCACTTCGTCAAGTTCGTGGAACATACGAATACGCTGGTTTATACTCAGCGAAAGGTTGACACTCGTCGCGGAAAAACAAATGAAAGAAATAGAAGCGAGTTCGCCGCCGGCGACGCCAGGTTGCAGTTGATCTGACACATCGCCGCCTGCGCTACACCCTCTCGTCTGTTTCACTCATTTACCCACTAACCTAACTTCCCATTATTATTACATTTACAAGTGAGCACCAAACATCGCCGGTGGCGCAGGCGGTTTTGTCCTCGCGTTCTCAAAACTAACATCCTACGTGCGGTGCACGCCACGGCCTCAGCCGCTTATAGGGTAGGTTAACTGATTCATGGATTGATTTAAGATCTCTCCACCCCTCATTAACCCCACTGCCGGGTGTGCATCTCCTTTGAGGAAAGGGTTTAGGCCATACCCCGCCACGCTCGTTCGATGTAGGTTGAAGACTTCACACGTTTTCCAAGGTTGTGAACGTTTATCGACGCGCAGCTTTCAGCACAATGTTTTCTTTCACAATGAGCTAGAGTCATTGACACCAAACTTTAAAAAAATTAAGTAGCTTAGTTAAAGTCGCAGGTACATGCCGCCACAAGTATTCGAATCCGTTGTTCTCTAATTGGGAAGGGATCGCTTGAACACTGGGCTAGCATCGCTCTTTGTTGTTGCCAAAGCATTCGAAAAGATTTTCATTTCACTTTTTTTTTAGTCGGTAAATTCATATACCACAGTCGAATCCTTCCTTAAAGAAAATATTGGAGTTATTTTTAGCTTTACATATACTTAAATGTTCTAATGTAATACTTAAATAAGTTCATCCAACAACATTTTTAAATGTTTTACATCGATAACAAATCGTATAAAATTGAAATTAATTCTACTGCTGCTTGCATTGCTTCTAATTTATCATGCGTCTATAACGAATTTATTAATGTCGAGGCGAATTTCCTGACTTCATGGAGCAAACAATTTCTTTCACTTCCCTTGCTCGGAAAGGCTTTTTCTCTCATTAGAAAACTGTGCGCAAAAGCGTTTCTTGCGCGCTAGCGTGGAATAGGTTTTTGAAATTCGAACTTGACGTTGGACTGTGATACTCCTAACTTTTCATTTCGATGAAAAAAAAAAAATTACACGTTCGACTACGCAATTTGTCGTACATTACTTATTTATGTAATATAAATCCGTTGATATATTTTATTATATTTTATTCTCATTATTGTTTATATTAAATTGACAATGATAACTAATTGTTTATGAAATCATTTTAATTAAAATAATTTCAATAATCACTTAATCATAGAAAATAAAAGTACAAGCAAGAATAAAAATTGATGACGTGTAAATTCAGAACGCATCCGAAGTTAAACTTTTCTTTTAGTTAAAAAAAACTAATATTTTATAGTTCTACTGTTTTTGTTTCATCTATTATTTTCCTCGCTAGTGAGGTGAAAATTTGTGTGTTTCGCTCGGCAGCAAAGTTGTTTCGCGTTTCGTGTCTTGAAACCCTCGCTCTCGCTACGCTCAGAAATCTATTTTTTAAGTCTTAGCCTCCTCGGCTTAGGCTTGCTCAGGTTTCAATACAAGCACTCGCGTCAAACCACAACTTTGCAGCCGCATAACAAATAACTATTTTGTTAATCTGGCTGAAAATGCGAAGCGTCTTATCGACAGGGGTCGAGTTCAGACGCATTTCAAATATTTTTTGAAAGAAAACAATGATTATTTTTTCATTCGTTTCTTATTTTAGCAGGGGATCTGCCTTACGAATGAGTAGTGTTTAATCAATTGAACGATGTCATGTAACCTTGTTCTCTACTAAAATATAGTTGTCGAGCCTCACCTTCAGCGGGGTTGGAGACGGCGTCGTGCACGAGCGACGCGAGACAACCGGAGAAACCTGCAACACAACAACGCTTTGTCAACATCCACGCCGGTCGACATCGCGGCTATTCGTCATTACAGCCATCGAACTTGCAAAGATGCAACATTGGGCACAGAGGCAAGTAGAATAAATACATAAAATTGGCATGACATTTGCCACCGACAGAAGTGGCTTGTAAGCCTAAACCGCTCCACCTTGCTTCCACAAACGTCGGTATTGGGTACCACCGGATTCACACGCCGCACAAAATCACAAGTTTACTGCACAGAGATACGTTCACAAGTAAATAAGATTACATCGCGCCCTTTGCTCCGAGCTCACGATTCATACTGCATGAGTTAATTTCCCAAAGTGTAGAGCTTGAAGAGACTTCACTGGACAGTCGTCTCAGGTCACTTCTCCTTTATTCGAGGAAGCTAAGAAAATGTACACAATTGTCAAGCTAGCCATATATGCATGATTTCAGGGCTGGTGATGTTTCAAGTTCTTTCTTCTCTTTGTTTATACGTTACTAGAGAACCGCGTACCACAGCGTCCTTTATGTAAGAACATGAGCATCCCCTTGCAGTTCCATCCACCAAATTAAATCGCGAAAAATTTAAAATTCATATCAGACATTTTGTTATTCATATTTAACCTTACTTAATAAACAAGAATTGAACCAAATGCCTAGTCTCAATCTAGAGAATTCCTGTATGTGTACCAGAGCAACGGAACTCAATCCGGGACACCCAGACCAGAACCAGTACTGAAAAGTTCATATCACAAATGGGTCTACCGAGAATTGAACCTGGGTGGTCCGAGGTCTCACAGTCATCACAGTAATAATACATATCGTACAACAGCACCGGCGCTCTGTATCGCGGGTGCCATGGACACACACATATGTTGACAACCACACATTACACCCAAACTCACGAGAGAAATAAATCTAGGCCATACAAATATTTTTCCCGGCCCGGGAATCGAACCTGGGACCTCTGTGTGGCAGTCCAGCAGGGTAACCGTTCGGCCGCGAAGGCAGTTGTGTCGCACACTATGCGACATGCATTCAGGGAAAAGCGTTTAAGAAATTGCAAATATTTTTCAATGCATTGGTCTCGGTGCTACATAATCCGTTAAAATTCAAATCGGATCTAATACGCTTTAAAAATTACTGTGATAAGAATGAATATTCATGTCGATTGCCGCGCTCGGTGCGTGTGAAAGAAAGAGATCGACAGATAATTTCATTCATTAGTATTGTAGGCAATCGCTAGTCAATGACGCCTGAACTGTACACGGTAAAAACAGATTACTTAGAAAAAGACAAAATTCTTTTTATGAAGACAAATTTATTAAATCCAACAAAACGATCCTCTCCCTATAGACGCTAGAGAATAATTACTTGATAATAGTAAAAAAACGTCTCAAAAGTGTATTTTCGTTACAAGACAGAAATATTTAATCCAAGAGCAAATTAATTTACTTCAACTCACAAAGCCACTCTAGATTCAACAAAATATTTATTTGTTATTAGAAATGTCCGATTTTGATTTGAAAAAAAAAGAATGAAAAATTGAGAGGTACTTAATTATTTGACTGAAGATTTGTGTTTTCTAATATCAAAAAGGGTAAATTTACAGGGTTATGGACCCAACAGTATGTCTCACTAGCGTGAAAGCACACGGTTCAGTGTCACACCTTAAAGTAGCAGAAATAGGACGGAATCTTCTCAAATATTTGAGGACCATTCAGTGCCGTATACATGCTACAGCGGCAGAATACACTAACAATTCCAAATATATGAGATGACTTTATACTATTGAAGTTAACAAAACGATAGCGCGTTTCAGAGTACAACTAATGCCAATGAAAACGCAACGAAATGTTGCTTTAAGAATATACTCTAGAATTTAGAATATTAATCTGAATAGAAAACATCTTCTTTTTTTGTTTAAGAATATATTTTCTTAAAATACACCCAAGAAATTTTGAATTCATTTAAGATTATTTAAATTTGATGTAAGAGGTAAAAATTTCTTGATGTAAGTAATGTCCAATGAATTGATTAGAAATGAAATAAAATTTTGAAGTGAACGTATTTGTCTCAAAGTTAGAATAAAGTTAAGAGTAAATTTGTATTAGAAAAAGACAAGCCGTATTTTTGTAATGACAATATTTTATTACTTTTAATAAATATTTTTTCAGAATTAGCAAATATTGTGAGAAATTGCTCTTTCTTATTAGTAGAAATCCTTTTTTTCTGTGTACAGTGTGTGATTAGCAATGGTCGGAAAAAGGTGTTCCACATATTATAATGTAGATACATGTCTAGACATGTACGGAGCGACGCAGAGTTGTTAAAATCACCTTATATTCATTCATTACTTTTTTCGAATTCCGGATATCCGGAATAGCTTTACTGCATCGTAGGACAAAACTGGGAAGTCGAAATTCAACTTTAAAGTAACTCAAATGGCGCCATGTAAAAAAAATGCTGAAGATAACTGACCTTTTACCAAAGAGAAGAAAATAAAAAAGTAACGAGTGTGGTCACCCCCCGCCCCTCCCCGAGCTTTAGATACCGCAACGCGCCCCGCATATCGACTAGAGGTAGGCGTTTAAACGAAAAGCACTTTAAAGTCTGCTTTTTAAAATAAGCGCATAAGCACGCTTTTCATTTTAAGCGTAAGCGTTAGTCTATGCGCTTAAACGTTTTTCTAAACGACTTTTTAAGCATCAAATTAAAAAGCGTGTGAAAAGCGCTTTTACAAGCACACTTTTTAGACGTACGTTTTAACGTTAAAAAATATGCAGTTTTTTCCATTTCAAAGGTTAAACAACTACAAAGTTAAAAAACTTATGTTTTTGATCGCTTTTAAACGCCAATGAACAAAATGTTAATATAAAAATGCTATGTCATAAATAAAAATATAACTCGTTTTTTACAAAAAAAACTTACTTATCTTAAAACCTTTAGTGGTCTACTTTTGCTTTTCACTATCAACACAATGTTGCAAGCTCTTTTAACGTAAAAGTCTATACGCTTAAACGTTTTCTAAACGATTTTGTTAGCTTCAAACTAAAAAGCATTTAAGTGAAAAAGCGTTTAAAAAAGCACGCTTTTTCTAAAAAAGCATACCTTTTAAACGTTTAAAAAAATAAGCAGTTTTTCCCATCTCTATAATCGACAGTCACATTGACAGAACAGCAACAAGGCTGTCAGCGAGCCATTCGCTAAGGACAACACGTTGATATTTATTCTGTTCAAATTTATTTATTACGAACGTACCTTACTATTATTATATTATAATGGTCGTTAATTGCGCCATGTACGGCATTTATACGGCTTCATCTAAATAGAATAAAGAGAGGAGTTTATTTCGTTCAAAAACTTTTTAGTACATTTCGGATTTTCGATACAATTAACACTTGGGAAATTAAAGTCACGATAATCATTATAAAAAATACCATTCTCCATTTCGAGTGCGTGTGAGTCCTTGGGAGCGCCTTTTGTGAATGAGTTTTGTCCTACGATAAAGCAAAACCATTTCCGGAAATCCGGAATGCGAAATAGTAATTATTTAATATTTGGTGGTTTTAACTCTATGTCGCTCCTTGTATATATAACATGTGTCTATAGTTATTGATCACTGATTAGTTTAGTGAGTGATCAGCTGATCGAAATTTTACGACCTGGAATTTCCGTCAATAAATTGTGAGAAGTAAGATAGCTTTGTAAATGTTTCAAAATATTGACTGAATTAAATATTAAAATATAATTTTCTCAAAGATGCTCAAAAATGTTTGCATTACTTTCAAGAAACGAACAGGGAATGTTTGTCATTTATGGACCGTGAGACAATTCTTCCCGGCCAAGGCCAGCAAAGTAAGTATGAAAATCCATTACTGTCCACTTCAGCGGCGCGTTCAGTTTGCGGCGATCGCCAGAGTCAAAATAGAAAAAGATATAAAAAGATGGAATTTAGGTGGCGCCTAAGATATACACACCGTGTGTGAGGTGGTCGTGGCGGTGCCGCGTGAGCGTCTGCAGCGAGTGCTTGGCGTGCTCGTAGGTGGCGAAGAAACACGCGTGCGCCGGGCCCGCGCCCGCCACCACCGCTGACATGCCGCGCACCGGCCTGCAACATTTCATATCTGGAAATTCATTCGCTGTTAACACTTCCTAAGTGCGTGGCGTACAGTTCTGGCGAATGCGCTGCCGCTGCACGCAAACAGGCGTATTCGGCAGATTTGTACGCACCCGTAAAGAATGCCACAAAGTACAGTCCCGAGTCGCTGGTCGAGGACCAGGGGAAATGGCGCACGTTGGGAAACGCCGGTGTCCAACAGTAGATTGCGATAGGCTGATGATGATGTGATGTTTGAAATCAAATTTACGGTTATAACAGAATTGTAGACAAATACGAGTAAGTACCTGAATCGGCACTTCTACATTGAGTTTAGTGTCGGCAGTCGCAGCCTTGTAAAATATTTGTTTTGTTGTTGAAAAAATTTTACCTCTTCTTGGGACCGCTAGTGTCGCTGTATAATTTCCCATACGAAATGTTCAAATTATTTACGCATTATTTTGATTACTTACGCGTTACGCGCACGAAAGTGACGTCAGCGCGTTGACACGTGGCCGCGGTAGGCGGCAAGCGCGTATACCTCAGCGCAGACAATTATAGCCGTCTCTCCGGGGTGACCAACGGTGACGTAATTTTATAGGTCGAATGCTATCGTGCACGTTGAAATGTTAAAAACTAAAAAGCCTGTATGTCCGGACAACGGCGCATCAGACTACACATTTTTATTCGAAAATCGTCTCCAGTGCAACGGAACAAGATACTTCAATGTGTAGCTTGATGTGCTGGCGTGTGTGTACACTAATTTTGAGTCAAAACAAGGTGTTCAAGTCTAAATGCAGAAATTAATAGACAAAATTTACTCAAATTACACTTCACTTTGCCAACAATATAAACTCGTTTCGAAATAATTACCACACGAAAAAGGTTTTATTCATATACATTACTGGCTTGATAATTAAGGGTTTCCAATTATATAAATAAAGAAAACTGTCTTCATTGCACGAAACGGCGGGAATTAGTGAAATTTCAAGCTAGAAAGAATACGAATAAGAGGACACTCTCTAAAACTGCTAAGTGGCTACTTGACTGGTCGAACTCAACAAGTCAGGCTTGGTAATTACATAAGTGAGGAAACAGACATCACTTTTGAGGTGCCCCAAGGAAGCGTGCTTGGCCCTACGCTATTCCTCACTTATATAAACGGTTTGACAAACCTCATTGTTGACCACGGACTCGTCCTGTCCTACGCCGATGACACTATCATTGTATTTGATGGATAGCTGGATGGTTTAAAGGTGACCTACTGACGCTTAATACCGATAAAACGAACTACATGTGTTTTATTAAATACACAAGTACTCAAACCTGTCGCTTAAAATACACACGTGTAACAAAAATATTACTGAAGAGTGTAATTGTGTAGAAATTCAGAGAGTTGCATCCATCAGGTATGTTGGCATCATGTTAGATCAGCGTCTTTCATGGTACACATATATTGACTATGTAAATAGTAGAATACGAAAGCTCATTTGGCTATTTAAAACACTCAGACACATTGCTGACAAAACCTTACTGGATCAGTTGTATATCATCTTAGTTCAATCCATACTGAGTTATTGTATTGTTGTGTGGGGTGGTGCTTGTAAAACTAAATTCTTGGAGGTGAAAAGGAGGCAACGATGTATTCTTAAGGTAATGTACTCAAAACTTTTCAGATTCTCCACCGACGAACTCTAGCAATTGAGTGGTCACCTTACAATGAGAAAATTATACATCCTGTTCACTGTACTAAAGCTACATAAGTCCATTACTTTTAACCCTATTACTCATGTCCTATAGACGGAATTACATCGTTACTCCTCAGCCAATTTCCAAATAATTGTTGGCTGACAGGCAATTTGCAGTGAATCCGGCACGTATGTATTTATGCTGAATAATTTTTCATATATATAAAGTCCGAATGAATATTGAACACACCTATTTATATGACGATGTTCAGTGACGCAACAACACGTCTTAGTCGGATTACGACTGGGCGGCGACGCGTATATTTGCTCTACGTCAGCGCTGGTGTTGGTGTCGCGTGTGTAAGATTTTACAGACACTGTAGTATACAATACACTGTAGTATAATATAGTATAGTAAGTTTCGGTTTCAACAAGAATAAGACAAGCATTTCGCTATCAAAGGCCGCGCTCGCCCGCGGGCGGGGCGTGCTGCAACGCCCGTCGTCGCCCGTCCCCTTCCACGTACCTCCGTACGCGACGGAAGGGAGGTTCAAGGCCGCGACATTGTTCCCGCGAGGCGTCTGCCCTAAGTAGTTGTATAGCTGATCGATACTCGCGCACCACAATCGATTGCCTGCTGACGTTCAACGAGAACTATCCGTCATGGACTGTTTCTGGTGTTAACTATGAGAAAAAAATCCTCCACTTGATGGTTAATTACTTAGAATAATAACGCATAGAAACCTAGCCCACACACGTTAAGTGAGGCAAATTGAAGCGTTCCCAATGGGCCTACACGAGCGGGCGGGCCATCAGTGCTCAAGGTCAACTTGCACCGCGAACAGCTCCAGAATTTTAGCTAAAAATGACGAAATGTGCGGTAAATGAGTGTAAAAATACGTCAGACAAACATAAAATAGATACTAACATCACATTCCACAAGGAAGTAACGCGTTTCAACTTGTATTTTTATATAAATATTCATTAAAACCATTGACTTATTAAAACCGAAAATTAATTTCGTTGCAACAAGACACGAAAATGTTGCAAAGTAACGGATTTCTTTCTCCCAATTTTGCTATTCTGTTTCAAAATAATTACATTACATAATTTTTTGAGAATAGGCAATATCGCGATGGCTGCAGATTTTTTTTAATTTTAATGTAAGTGTGCATTGCACCTCCATTTCTGCAAGTTGAATGCGTACACATATTGTTTAGAAAGAGCAACCCCTAGAGTTTCTTGCTCATACTTCTCGGAGGAATCTGCCTTACAAATGAACGGTAGAGTTTAACCAATGTGACGATTTCAAGTGTAATTATGCTTACCTATCAAATAAAGATTATTTTGATATGATTTTGATTCTGGGTATCGTTTCCGAGGTATTTGGGGGTGCTCATTACGAATATAGCACTTATTTCTAAATCCAAGATGGCGGACACGATTTTTCAAAAAAATGCAATATGGGTATCCTTTTCGATGTATTTGGGGATGCTCATTACGAATATGGCACTTATTTCTAAATTCAAGATGGCAGGCACGACAGTTAAAATAAAATCAATATTCCTAATGAGCACCCCCAAATACCTTGAAAACGATACCCAACTTGCCATTATTCGAAAAATCGTACGCGCCATCATGGATTTAAAAATAGTGCCATATTCACATTGAGCATCCCCAAATACCTCGAAAATGATACCCATATTGCATTTATTTGAAAACTCGTGTCCGACATCTTGGATTTAGAAATAAATGCTATATTTGTAATGAGCACCCCCAAATACCTTGAAAACGATACCCAACTTGCCATTATTCGAAAAATCGTGCCCTCCATCTTGGATTTAGAAATGAGTGCCATATTCGTAATGAGCACCTCGAATACCTCGAAAATGATTCCCATACTGCATTTATTTGAATAGTCGTGTCCGCCATCGTGTATTCAGATATAAATGCCATTTCCATAAGCATTACCAAAAATAAATTTTTGAACATTCTTGTCACTTGACATTGTCGATCGACAAAACCGAGCATATCTGTAGGCACCTAATCGAAAATGTCGGGCAAATCTGTAGGCACCTTTAACTTAATGATGAGTTAAGCAAAATACAATTTCCCCACTTTTGAGGGAAATGTTGTTCCATGGCATCATTATTTGTATATTTGTGTGCGTGCCGACGAGCGTAGATACAAGTTGCTTACGCCTATATGAATTTGATTTTTGCCTCAATTGTGACAGTTCGTTTGATATGAAACTATCATTCTATGCGTTATTATTCTAAGGTTAATTATTACTTGCACCATGTGCGGGCACGCTGGTGTACCTACTGTGTGTGTTTGTACCCGCGAGGTCACAGGATGGAAAGCGCATCGTGGGCGCACGCGCATCGCGGATGCCCGCGTGGTTCAACACGCAGCAACTCGCTAATAATACAAGTGCACTGCCGTCTGCCGTCGCACACCGGGGCCCGTCCATACAACGTAATGTTCAAAATTAAAATTTCCAAATGTGGGTATTTAATAAAATATATGTATCAGCGTAGTCATAACAAAGTACCACATCACGTGTAAAAATACAGAGGCGCTAACTACTGTCAGTTGTGAACTGCATCAGCTCAATGTTGTTGCTCTTTACACTGACGACTTTACGTGACGTGATAGTTTATTACGCCTACGCTAATGTATATATTTTTTTCAATATTGAAAATCGACTTTTGAGCGTTACCTTGCGTGGACGGGCCCCAGTGTGCGTCGGTTAAAAGTTGCATCGTAAACACGCTTCCACGTGTTCGTAATTTGCTTAAATGATAAAACGAAAAGAATCTCGTGACTCGAGGACCAGTGCCGTCATTGATACACATACTACCTAATTTTATTACTTTCACGTTCGCAGTTTAAACAACATAATCAACGTCGTCAGAGCGACGAGTGGAACAATATTTGTTCAACTACTGTGTCGAGAAAACCAAGTGGAATTAATACCTAAGAAAACTTCGTAAATTTATTTGATAACGCACGTTAAGAACAACAGGTAAAATAAGTAATAAACTCATATCAAGCGAAGCAGATGTTCAGCCTCATTGGTGAGGTCGGCGTAGCGTTCGTGATAATACAGTACGAGTACACGCTCGCACTTAGCAAAAAAAAAAGTATTTTGTGTGGAGTGGTACAACGACGATGATGAAATACAAAATATTATTTCCCATAAAATAATTCACAATAGATCCCGCAAAACTTCATATACTACTTTATATTTAGTTATTGTTCGAAATTGGTTAGTAAGTGCAGATCATCGAGGCGACGAGTGCGAGAGAGAGGTGGACGAGG